ATGAGCCCCAAGTTGAAGCTCCAGATGGGAGACCTTGTACCCTCTTGATAAATAGTGAAGGTTGCACGCAAGATTCACTGAGATCATATTCAAGGGGAGGGGGTAGATTTTTGATCTGGGAATGATGAACTCCAGCAGACTTTGTGGGATGCTAACATTCACTCCTTCGCAAAATCCAGTGGAAATGGAACACCCAACCTCGTTTCCAGCAGAATTTATGGTGGAATTCTTTTACATGCCTAATGGGGTGGGTGAGCAAGAAGAGCTGTGCAGATGTAGCCTTTGTTTAAATACAGCAGCTTTTATAGAAATCTAGATCTAACCATTCTTTCCCCCCACCCCTTTTTATATATACACAAAATGACTGACTTTCTTATCATGCCAGATCTGCTGGTGTAACCTTCCAGAATACTTAGATGTGTTTTCAATGTAATTTAATCATATTGTGTTTCTTCGGAAAATATATATATATATATACTTAGAATGATTGCCTGTTCAACCCTTACAGTGCTTTGATCCCATGATCATTCCCTAGCCCTACAGGTATGTTCTATACTCCCCCTGTCATTGCACAAAAATCACTGCTTAGCAAATCAGTTGAGCGTACTGGGTGAAAGAAAAGGAAACCATTCATTTTCATCCTAGGAAATGTAATTCACATGGTTTGATGGACATTTCTCCATAGGAAATGTCCTTGTTCCACATGATTAGTTTGTATTGATTAAATGCAGTGCTTGCAGTGAACTCAAACTAAACTTTGCTTGAGTTTCTCATAAATACCTATGAAACCATGTATATATACCAGCGGTGGGTTTCAAAAAATTTTACTACCGGTTCTGTGGGTGTGGCTTGGTGGGAGTGGCATGGCTTGGTGGGCGTGGCTTGGTGGGCATGGCAGGGGGAGGATGCTGTAAAATCTCCATTCTCACCCCACTCCAGGAGAAGGATACTGTAAAATCACCATTCCCTCCCCAATCCAGGGGAAGGTTAATGCAAAATCCCCATTTCCTCCCGATCAGCTGGGACTTGGGAGGCAGAGAATGGATGGGGGCGGGGCCAGGCAGAATTTTTACTTCTGTTTCTCTGAACTACTCAAAATTTCTGCTCCCGGTTCTCCAGAATTGGTCAGAACCTGCTGAGCCCCACCTCTGATGTATACGGTATGTGTGCATTTGTGTGTGTATTCATACTTAATGACAAATGCACTTTTGAATCTGAAGTTGAATATTGTAGTTTTAATTTTTTAATCTACACATTTAATAAACAGTCCTTGATTCAGCCACGAGTACCCTGTAACACATTACCTTGGCTTGCTTTCAGACTTCTGATTCATCTTTCACTTCAAATGTGGACGATTCAATTATTCATCAGGTTATGTTTTTGTTGGTAGAACACCAGACTCACAGATGGTTAGTGATAACTGATGTAGTGAGACTTTGTAAAGTGTTCTGAGGGTCCCATTTAAAACCACTGCCTTTGATGTCTTACCAGGATAAACATTTACCTTGATTAAGGCCCTCATTCTAAAAAGGAGGCAAATGTGAAATCAAAGCCTATTTTGCACTAGCATACCTTATGAACATTTTTAGTAGCATCAATTGATTTCCTGTTTATTTGGAACTGGCAGATTAATTCTAGTTGGGACATCTCTCCTTCCTATATATTTCTGTGGTTTTTCTGGGCTAGCAAGCTCAAGCACTGAGATCTGATGTAGCTACCTTCTTTAGAAAGATGCTCTCCAATTAAGTTGAATATGACTGAAACCCAGTTCCTTTTTAAAGCACCAGATTGGGGAAGGCCGATATGTATTCTCAGACAGAATATATAATGAAGTGATAGCAGTCTAAGACAATGTGTTTTCCAGCATCCCTGATTATTATTCAACTATGCACAGATGATGTCCTTCAAAACACCAATCATTGCATAACAATGGCAAAATGACACTCACTTCCCTTAATTTAAACATTCTTCTGTCTATCTGGCAGGCACACAGCCTTCTTAGCAATACATAGCACTGTAGTGCAGTCAGTATATGCCCTCCACAGTTTTCTGCTGAGTTGACATTGAGATCTCCTGATGATATGAATCCCGCAACTTACAAGCTGCTATCCTTTGATGAGATACCTCAAACTACAAGAGTATCTTTGGATCACAGCTTTTTGCTATGAGAGGGGGCCTATTTTTTGACAAGGTCCAACACTACAGAAAAGAGGGAAAAATCCTATTAGGAGACTCACAAGAACCATCTGATATCTCTGCCACTGGAAAACCTCAGCAAGTCAACTATTTGCAGGGAAGACAAACACACCAAAAAGATGGAGGAAGCAAGAGAACTGGAAAATTTTCTCAAAACAAAGAGGAACTAATTAATAACCTAAGGTGACCAGACGTCCCGCTTTTGGCGGGACAGTCCCGCTTTTGAGCAATTTGTCCCGCGTCCCGCGGCGTTTTAAAAAAGTCCCGATTTTTCATTCTGCCTCCTGAGTCCCGGCTGCCTCCTGAATCCCCGCTGATGGCTAGAGGGAAAAAAAACTCTTTAAACTCTTGCCGCGGGGCTTCAAAGAGCCGACCTACAGCTGATCAGTGTTAAAAAAAAATGAATAGACCCATGCCTGCAAAAATAGAAAAAACAGCCCCTGTTAACAGCTTCCGCTAGGTTAATTAGCTGCAAAAAGCTGCAAAAAGTTCCTGGAGCAGATTTTTTTCCCCCTAGCTATACTGAAAACAAAGGCGAAAGCGAAACTAAACCTGCAACGTGACAAAATGAGGCAGAGAGAGATTTCTTTCTTTTTCTTTTTCTTTTTCCTCACCAAAAAAGGTAGGTACAAAACTGCAAACAATGGGAAATTTTGGGCAAAAGAGGAGAGTTCAAGATTTTAAAACACAAAAGAAAAAAAGCTCTATTTAACTAGGGAATTGTAATAATTGAGATACTATTAATAATTGTATATTGTGTTGAAAGCAGAAATGGTTAAGTTGTGGTTTGGAGGAATATATGGGGGAAATTATTTGGTTTATTATTATTGGTAAATATAATTAATTGATTTGTAAGAAATTGGATTGCATGGAAATAATTGGAATATTCATGTTCATATTGATTAATATACAAAAAAGATAGTTATATAACTAATTGATTTATATTAAAATGTTGAATTTGTATTAAACAACTATATTACATAATTACATAATTAACCAATGTGAGGATGGATATAAAAATAGATGACAATGGGAAGGGGTATAATATAGAATAGAAGGGAAAAATTGAATTTGATTAAGATTAGAGATGAGGATGAAGGGTAATATTGTTTTTTTAAAAAAAATAGATGAGGAATAAATATGGCAAAAAGGAAATATAGAAATTGTAAATTTAATTGAAATGACTAAACGCTGTTTAAATTTGTGAACCAGCCAAATATTCTGTTCAAAGAAAATACATTGTATGTTTGTATGTGTGTTTCTAATTATTGCCATTTATTCATATTTGTTCTCTTTTATTCTTTAAAGTTTAACAATTCATTCTTAATCTTAATATCTTTATATTTGCTTGGGGTTGGCTTTCTTCCCTTTCATCTTTTTTATTGTACAGCAATCTTTCTCCTCAAACCTACCACCACTCTCTTTTCTTTCCTTCTTACTTTCTCTTCCCCCCACCCTTTTTTTCTCCTCCCTACTTCCTCTTCCTTTCTCCTTCTCCTCCTCTCTTCCTCTCTCTCTTACCCTCACTCCTACTCTAATTTCCATTCCTTCATCCCTCTCTATTGCTGTATCCTTTAATGCATATGGACTACTCAGAGGGCTGAAAAAGTTATTTTTGACTGGTCCTCACACTTTTGACCAGTCCTCGAACTTACGACTGTCCTCACATTTTACATTTTTGCCCTATCTTGTCACCATGGTGAAGAGAAGCAGTTGTGAAATGAGTGACATGGTTGTTAAGAATACTGCACGGGCATAAATGTGAGGATGGTCATAAGTGTGAGGCCCAGTCAAAAGTGTGAGGACCTGTCAGAAATGACTTTTCAGCCCTCTGAGTAGTCCCTATACACATAGCCATGGCCACCCGGTCACATGACCAGCTAGCCACGCCCACCCAGTCACATGACCTCCAAGCCACGCCCATACAATAAGTCACGCCCACAATGGTGTCCTTCTTACCAATGTTAAAATCTGTTCACCTTACCCTATACACATAGCCATGGCCACCCGGTCACATGACCAGCTAGCCACGCCCACCCAGTCACATGACCAGCTAGCCACGCCCACCCAGTCACATGACCAGATGTCCACGCCCACAAAATAAGCCACGCCCACAATGTCCCTCTTTACCAATGTTAAAATCTGGTCACCTTATAATAACCTGATGGCTACAGTAAGGAAATATACTGACTATATAAAAATGAGAAAATTGGGGAAAACTTTCTAGCAAAGGTTGTACTACCTCTTCTTATTTATTTGGGGAGGTGGGGGAGAGAATAATTTCTCCCAAAAATTTCCAACATTTTCTGGGACTTCATTTACTTAAGAAAAATACCTGGAAATTTCTGTAAAATCCTTGGACTCTAGCAATATAAACCACAGCTGCACCAGTATAATAAAGATTCCTATCAAGCCATCATCAAATCAATATCACTGGGAGAAACACTTCTAATCTTAAATTCAGTATCTTACTTCAAAAGTTCACTAGAAGCCACTGAAGTGAATCATAAAGGAGTTCAGTGATATAATCAGAAGAAGAAAAGAATCTGTGGTCCACAAGCACCAGTGAAGTTCCTGTCATTTGTTTAGTTCCATTTCCTCTAAAAATGGAATGTATGGATCTGGGACTCTCCAGAAGTTGCTGACTGGAGGGCCACAAGCCATTCATCTTTGATTTGGGAGAGATACAGTAATTATCAAAAGTTTACTTTTGAGGTCATCACATGAAGAAGAAAGGAAACAATGCCCACTACTCACAATGGCTTGGCAAGAATAACCTTAGAAAATGAAAAGCTATTGCCAAGTGGCTCTGGTTACAGCAGTGGACTTTTTCCAAGCAGAGAGAGAGGGTCTCTATTTTATCGGAATTGCTTGTAAGTTGCTATTAAGAAGTATTTCTCAACAATCTCTTTTTTATTAGCTGTTTGTGCCCATTATAATTTTCTAGTTGCGAGTTTGTTATGGCTGTAATATAAATAGAGTTCTAAAAATGTCTTACTTGAAGAGTTGCAGGGCTGCCTCTGCCATTTAGTCACAGATAAAAGCAGGCAGAAAGGGTTTTCTCTGTAATGGGCCTATTTTATATTTAATAGAACTGTCATATAAACTTACACTAACATTTAAGATGGAGTTTCTAGGCTATAAAATAAACACCATTTCTAATATCACTGTTTATTAAAATGAACATGCAAAATTTAGGCTGGATTGTCATGAAATTTAGAAAGTATAAAAGGGAGCAGAAATGTGTGTGTCTCTCTCTGGTTCTAGAAATGACCAAAAAGAGTTATGTGCATTTTCTGTTCTTTTTAGCTGCATCCTTTTCTTTATCTGGTGAGGTCAACGCAAGAACATCTGTTGACCTGCATATCATCATTTGCAACTAGCATCCCGCTTGCTTGGATCCTACCAAATCTGTTTGGCTTAGCAAATGTATAATGTATATAGAGGCTTTATTGTTATGGTTAAATAAACCAAGGCTAAAATCAGATTTATTTTTTTCCCCCTCCAGGATCCATCAGAGATGGGGTGTTCTGTAAGAATGAGGGATGTGAGTATATTCTGGTTGAAAGGTTCTTTCAAGAATTTAGAATCTCATCATGTATTTTGAAATTAACGGAGCACTGTGTTAAGGAAAGCATCATCTTGGCACAGACCACTAACAGTTAGAGCATGGGAATGTAACATTCCGACAACAATATTTAGTCCTAGACAGTATCACTTAAGAGCACAAATAGAAGACAGCATGTTTGAATAAACATTACCCCCAAATCCCATCCTTTTTCCTGATTTTCCTGTATTCTTGGCAGGGTTATATATGGTGGCATTCAGTCCTTCATGTTTCCATCTCCATTAGTTGTTTTTCTGTAGTGGCCCTCAGTTCCAAGCTCTAGAGGAAAATATTACTACAATGTCTCCCTTGATCAGAAATCTGGTAAAATAGTAGAATATTACTATTGGAAAGTTTTAATATTGGAAAGTTTTTCCCAATTTTCTCATTTTTATATCATCAGTAAAATAGTAAAATATTACTACAATGTCTCCCTTGATCAGAACTCTGGTAATGCTGTTGATAATGTTCCTAGTGAATTTGTCCTAACACTCTAAGGAAGAGAAAAGTAATGCCACTCTTTGTTGTTGTTTAGTCCCTAAGTCATATCTGACTTTTCATGACCCCATGGACCATAGCACATTAGGCCTCCCTGTCCTCCATTGCCTCGGAGTTTGCTCTGATTCATCTTCATTGCGACAATATGATGATCTAATCATCTCATCCTTCTCCTTCTGCCTTCAATCTTTCCCATCAGGATCTTTTCCGATGACCATTCGGAGTTGATTTCCTTAATACCATTCTTTAGCTGAATGTCATAGCCACTGGAGTGTTGCAGCAGACTCACACCAACTCATGAGAATTAAATTTTATGAAATTTGCAAGCCATTTGACATCAGAGGTAAGCCTTGATGCCCAGCAGACTAATCAGATGTTCTGCAGCTAGCAGCATGTCACAGCATGGCAATGGAGCCAGCAGAATCAGTTCTTAAACAGTTAGCAGCCCAGCACTACATGCCGCTGAACAGTTAGTAAACAAGCAAAAGGTTCTATGGGCTTTTAGAGCATGAGCTAACTTGGAGATACAGACATACGAAGGATCCCCAACCTCCGCGCCTTCCGTCGAGCTCTGAAGACCCTATTATTTCAGCAAGCCGGTCTGATGGGATAAATGATTTTAAATTGGGTTTTAAAAGTGGTTTAAAATGGTTTTAATTGGAAGTTTTAATTTTGGCCAAAGATTGAATTGTTTTAATATGTTTTTTAAATTTTGTCTTGTATGTTGTTTTATCATGGCTGTTCACAGCCCTGAGTCCTTCGGGAGAAGGGCGGTATACAAATATAATAAAAACTAAAAAACTAAAAAACTAAACTAAACAATTATTTGGGTACATTTGAAGAAGAGTGCAAACTTATAAAGTATTATAATTCTGAAAAGCTGAGCTGGCCTAAAAGGCAGGTTTTATGACTTTCATTGTAGTGTATTTAAAGTGAAGAGTGACAAAGGAGATTGAGGATGGCAAAAAAGTATGAAAACACTAATGGATACTAATGAAGAAGGAGAGTTACTTGGCTTCTATTTTGGCTCCGTGTTCTCTGAGAAACAAATACATGTTTTCCTAGGCTACTGTAAAGAGCTGGTTGAAAGTACTGCAGCAGCAGTAGAACTTTTGGGCAGGACTCCACTTCAATCTTGCTAGAAACACATATAGGACAAGATATATCTACTGGTTTTGGATGAAGTCTATTCTCCGGACCCGATTAGACTGCACACTCAAAAGGCCAGATAATTGTGGAACAAATGTTCCCATCTTCAGCAATATAGAACCCAGGGGTGAAATCCAGCAGGTTCTGACAGGTTCTGGAGAACCGGTAGCGGAAATTTTGAGCAGTTCGGAGAACTAGCAAATACACCTCTGGATGGCCCCGGAGTGGGGTGGGAATGGAGATTTTGCAATATCCTACCCCCAAGAGTGGGGAGGGAATGGGGATTTTGCAATATCCTTCCCCTAGAGTAGGGTAGGAATGGATTTTGCAGTATTCTTCCCCTGGTGTGGGGTGGGAATGGAGATTTTGCACTATCTTTCCCCTGCCATGCCCACCAAGCCACGCCCACCAAGCACCACTCTGCCCACCAAGCCACACCCACAGAACTGGTAGTAAAAAAAATTGGATTTCACCACCGATAGAGCCCCCTGTAGAATATGTTTATAACTGCATCCTGGGGTTTGTAGTATATTTGATATTTCATTTATTTAAATACACAGTTGTGCTTTAAAAATAATCTTCAGAATCAAGAGCTATTATATGTCTTTTTCCTACATCCCCTCATTCCCTGCTTTCAGCCATCTTCTCCATCTTAAAGGATGGGACTTGACTGTTTTGTTTTGATGATTGTAATGGCTTTCATTATCCTTCAGCCAGGCCACTACAACCCAGTGTGCAACTTATGTACTCCACAACAGCATTGCATGAGATGAGGTGCCAGTTGCAAATAAAAATTACAGAGAAGATACATCATACATACTTGGCTGCCAAGACAGGAGCAGAACCTATGCCCATAACCAAACACACTATATAATTATATTTTAAAAATTTCAAAAATTAAAAAAAAATACTTTGCAGAGGGCTATGCTGTGGAATTCTACACAAGGGCACTTCTATGGTAACAGCAACCCTGACTTCAAGTATCATTCATTGCATTAATACATCCATTTTGGGTGTGGAAGGCACAAATGTAACTCTAAAGCAAATATGGGTTTACAAACAAAATCTTAACAATACGAAGGTACAATTACACATTTTAGAAACTTAAAGCCTTTTATCAGATGGTAAATTGATTTAATTTTTTTTAAGTAGTAGGCATTATTGAAGATACTCTTGGGGTTATTCTATCTTTTCTCTCTTAACCTTGTTATTCTAATTCATGTATCACCTAGCTAGACATTTTCCTTTTCTCAGCTATGATATCATAGAGCATTAATTATTGGAAATTGCAAAGCCCAAATGCAATTGAGGCATTACCTTTGGAGTTAGCATTGGGGTGGACTCTCCTTAATGGAAATATAGAAATTATGCTGCTTTTCAGCATTGGCTATTGCCAATGCTGAAAAGCAACAGTTCCAGGTCTTCAAGTAAGAGTTTTCTCAGTCCTGCTTAAAGACACTAAAGCAGTGATTCTCAGCCTTAGCAACTTGAAAATGTGTGGATTTCAACTCCCAGAATTCCCCAGTTAGGCTGCCTGCCAAAGTTGAGAAACACTGCACTAGAGGCTGAATGAGAGATGTTTTGCAAAGATAGCTTTAATGAGCTAGCCCCTCCCATCATATAAAGAATGGATCATCAATATTGGCTTATATTGATATTGGATCATCAACGTAATCTTTCGGTTCAATTGCACTTGGTCCTCACCCTGCTTTCATAGCAAAATTCCCTCCCCCGCCCCCTTCATTTCCATAGCTGGTGACGTTCAAGATTTCTGTCATTTCTTTGGAACTGCCAAAATGAATGAAGACATCTGCCATGATGACAACAAGATCCTCCTCTTGGCTACATCGCTAGAAATGATTGACCTTTGAAGGAAAAAGTATATATAAGATCCCAACTTGTGAATGAGAAATGTTGCGTTTGCCTGGCTAGCCTAGTTAATAATTTAACAATGAAATCAGAGGCCTGGAATGTAAAAGAAGGACACACATGTAGACTGATGATGCCTGGATGGATGTAAAGGACAAAATAATTATTAGTTATATTATATAGAATATCATGGTCCCTCAAGGGGATGGTGGGACGGGGGGAGAGATGGTAGATAATTGCAATAGAGATAGATAGATAGATAGATAGATAGATAGATAGATAGATAGATAGATAGATGGATAGATAAGAATGATGATGATGAAGAAGATAGATAGATGATTATAGAGATGAGAGAGAGATGAGAGAGATGAGAGAGATAATGATGATGATGATGAAGAAGTAGATAGATGAGAGATTATAGAGATGAGAGATAGATGAGAAATAGATGAGAGATGAGAGAGAGAGATGATACAGATGATAGATAGATAGATAGATAGATAAGAATGATGATGATGATGATGAAGATAGATAGATGATTATAGAGATGAGAGATAGATGAGAAATAGATGAGAGAGATGAGAGCGAGAGATGATACAGATGATAGATAGATAGATAGATAGATAGATAGATAGATAGATAGAGAATGAAATACAGTTTTTATATTATTGATAATGTGAATGAACAAGCAGAGAACCAGCCATGTCTTTTCTTACCAAGAAGAAGGATCCAACATGGTAGGGATCCCCCCCCCCTTCATCTATGACATTTTTATTAAGGTTATGTATATGACCATTCATTTTCATTCGGCTGGTGCTAATTGCTGTCTCTTGCTTTTGGCTACTGTGTACAGGGAACATATGCTCTTCCCAACATTGCCATGCCTGTGGGTGCTCTGGGTTGCTCTGCTGTCTAGCGATGAGATCCTGCTGCTGCTGCTGCTGCTGCTGTTATAGAAGGCTAGTCGTACAACAGCTGGGAATATTCGGCTGCTTCCAAAAGCTTATCTCCTTAATAGCAACCACATCTTGGAACAAATGAGCAGCAGGAGGAAAACTTTCCTGTGATCCTTGAATATTTCTGTAATCTTCCAATAGACGGGTAGTGTGTTTAGCATAGGTACTTCCTGTTCAGAAGATGTGATTATTGGACAAAAGCAGCAGCAAGCTGAAAAGAAATGCAGGGACCAATCTAAAGTTTCTTACAGTGACTTTTCCCTACTCTTGTGCAAACGGGTTGCACTGAGATTATAGCTCCCAGTCCCAGTGTGGCCATTGCTAAGAATGCTTTGAATTATAGGTAGTCCTTGACTTGCAGCCATAATTGAGCCTGGGTATCACAATCATAAATCCTGCTGGTCATTAAAGAGGTAAATAAATAAATAAATAAATAAATAAATCATTGGGACACTGCAAATGACCGTAAATGCAGGCCGGTTACCAAGCACCCAAATGCAATCACATGACCATGAGGGGGTGGCCCAAGTTGTAAGTATCTTTCTTCGGGTCTGTCATCTTTCTTTCGGGTCTGTCATAACTTTGAATGGTTACCAAGCAACTGGTACCAACTAAATTAAGGATCACCTATATAATCCTAATCATTCGGTGGTGGTTTACTACCGGTTCTCCCCAGTTCACAGTAGTGGAAATTTTGAGTAGTTCGGAGAACCGGTAAATACCACCTCTGGCTGGCCCTGTCCCCAATCTATTCGCTGCCTCCCAACTCCCAGCTGATCGGCTAGAAGGAAAAAAATCAGGGCTCACTTGACAAAGAAGAAAAAGTAAAAAAACAAGACACCGTCGCTTTAAATTGAGAAGCCTCCCAACTGATCGCTTCTTAGCCAGGAGATCACTTGGCAAAGAAGGGGGGGGGAGACGCAGTTGCTTTAAATTGACAAGCCAAGAAGCAGCTGCTGGAAGGAACTTTTTGCTTGCAGGAATGAAGTGACATTCAACAGTTCGTTTCTGGGTCAGCTGAACAACAAACTGGATAAGAGGAGGGATTCTTATATGTTCTATGTTTTTGAAGTTTTGGAGTTTGTGCAACATGGGCTTTGTGTTTCTAAAAAGGTTTGGGCGATTTCCATTGTGAAATATCCTGTCTTGAATGAGTTTTCTGCCTGCTTGTAAATGGAGCAGAACTTCCAGCTTCCACTTTCTATTATCTCTAAGCACCAGTAGCTGTTTTCCTCTTACAAAGTTTCCTTTATGCAGCTGGCAGGAATGTGGAATGAGTATCAGGCAGGTTCCTTCTTAGCAGCTTGAGATTTCCTTGCTTTTCTTATGAGTAATATTTTACTTGGGGAAATGAAGAGGGGGGGAGTTTTATTCCTTCCCAGAGCAGGTTAGTCGGGTGGGGAGGGAATGGGGATTTTGAAGTAACCTTCCCCTGGAGTGGGGAGGGAATGGGGCAGGGTTGAAATGCTCCCGGTTCGGACCGGATCGCCGGATCCAATACTAATGGAGGCGGGTGGTTTGGAGAACCGGTAACAAAAATTCCTGCCCCACCCCATTGCCCAGCTGAGCCGCGCAATCATCAGAGGCTTTTTTTTATTTTTAAAAGCATTTTTTCTACAACCTCTTTGGCCGAAAAAATGCTTTTAAAAGTAAAAAAAAATGCAGCTCAGCTGGGATCATCAGAGGCTTTTAAAAGCATTTTTTCTACAACCTCTTTGGCTGAAGAGGTTATAGAAAAAATGTTTTTAAAAGGGAAAAAAGCCTCTGCCGATCAGGCAAGTCAGCTGGGATCGTCAGAGGATTTTTTTTTTTTAAAAAAAGAAAGCCTCTGCCGATCAGGCAAGTCAGCTGGGATCATCAGAGGCTTTAAAAGCATTTTTTTTTACAACCTCTTCAGCCGAAGAGGTTGTAGAAAAAATGGTTTTAAAAGTTAAAAAAAAAAGTTGACCGTGCCCACTCAGTCATATTACCCACCCACCCCAAGCTACGCCCACAGAACCAGTAGTAACAAATTTTATATTTCACCACTGGAATGGGGATTTTGCAGTAACCTTCCCCTATTACGCCACGCCCACCAAGCCACACCCACAGAACCAGTAGTAAAAAATTTTGAAATCCACCACTGCATAACTCCATCTTAATATGTTATTCCTGGTATGTGATGCTTTGTATACATAGAGAGAAAGAAGCATTCTTGTAATCTTTGACTTTTAGGCTTGCTGTCAAACATCAGCCATAATACTAATGACTGTTTTGAACAATAGGCAGGTTCTATTACACAAATGGCTATTTTATATGTGAAATTGTGACTGAAATATTTCTGTACCTATATTGGTTCTCACTGTCAGGAAGTTTCTCCTTAGTTTTAGGTTGCTTCTCTCTTTGTTCAGTTTCCATCCATTGCTTCTTATTTTGCCTTCTGGTGCTTTGGAAAATACATCTCCCCCCCCTTCTTTCTGGCAGCCCCTTAAAAGCCTGTTGCCTATCACACTCTTGGGCAAAGCATGTGAGCCATTTCCTGCTTTTAGTGGTCCATGAAAGTGCATCTATAATATGTAGATAATAAAGTTGAAAAAAGGTGAACAACATTTTTACAGAACTATAGATACGTTGAGGCTGGGTGTGACAAGGAATGGCTGGGAGGGGAGGGGCCAGGCGAGGCACCGCTTGATGTGAGTGACATTGAGTTGGCCACGCCTACCCAGTCACATGACCATCAAGCCATGCCCACTGTCACATGACCAGCAAGTCACACCCACAAAATAAGCCACACCCACAGAACCGGTAGTAAAAAAAATTTAGAACCCACCCCTGTAATCATCCTAAGCCTAGCAGCCCAAGGATGCTATCATAGAGTCTAGTTGGCTGTTACATGAAACATGCATGCCACATTTCTAGGAATATTTGCTAGCTAAGAAATCTGGTAGTTTTCTAGCTAGGTTGTCTACTCTATACTGATTGATCCTCATCAATTAAACTAGGGAAACATGATAGGTGAAGAAAGTAACACATGAGCACAACTGGTTCTCTTATAGGTAATAATATAGGCCATTCCTTGCTAGCAGGATCCCCCCCACTCCTTCATATACTTTTGAAATATATTAAAACAAGAAAATGCATTCTTTTTTGTTGATTTTAGAATGAGAGCAGATCATCTGTGAAACATCTCAGATTAACAGAGATTGCTCCAGTTGCCATGATTCAACCTTTAAATACCTTTGGTCTGGGGTGATTGAGACTTCATTGACATATTGCAAGCCATTTTGGGGGGAAACCCTGAAGTTGGTGTGGCAAGAGTTGGTACATTCCAACAACTGTCTGCCTAACTAATTTTGCTTTGACTGATGAAGTTACTTGGATGAGCAATGAAATGTCTCAGATTAACAAAAGTTGGTCCAATTGCCACAATTCAATCTTTAGACATCTGTGTCAACGATTTCAAAAGGGATTTTAAAAAATTATAATGACTGATATAATAGGCACAAGAGCAAGTCCTTCTAGTGATTTAATTGCAACAATGCAAATTATGCAGGATATGTGTCTGCCAGGGTATGTCAACTGGCATGTTTTTGTTTTAATTTGCGCAGATAAATTTTGTGTGTAGCTTTGGCCCAGATTGATAGGAGAATACGTACAGAGAGAGTCCAAAGCTCTGCCATTCGTTATATTACCCTACACTCATTTCCTTCAACCTGATATCCTCCAGGTGTTTGGGGAAACGAACTGTAACTCAAAGCCATTCCAGCCATTTAGTGCCCGCCTGATGTGTTAACAAAGGCTGTCTCTGCATTCATTCATGCCAAATTTTACCAGATGAAGAAAAGTGGACATGGAAATGTCCCTCCCTCCCTGTGTGTGTGTGTGTGTATGTATGTAATTCCTAACTTTAAAATGTGTCTTACAATTCTCTCTTAACGTGCTTCTTTCCTTTCTTCTATTGGAAAGACATTCGGCCAGTGTCCAGTATCTTTTCAACAGTGCTCTTGCAGACAGTCATTTATCAGGTGTATGCCACATGGCAGAGTGATGTTTAGAAATTCCATTTGCCATGTGTTATTCATGATCCCTGCACATTTCCTTCATTTGTCAGGGGATTTAGATCTCAGCTGTGTTTAGTTTTGGGGGCTTGAGAACAAGTCAGCCCATAGGCAGACACCTAATGATATAATTTTGAGCAGTGCCAAAGGTTTGATTGCCTTCTATCAACTTTCATGCAGGCAGCTCCTTTGAATACAGTAATGGATGACAATATCAGAACGATCAATCTCGGACCAACTTCAAGATTTATTGAAACACACTATTCTTAAGCTTCTTGCTCATAGGTATTTGGCACCATGTCAGAAACCCGGTGGGGAGGGGCTGTTCATTTATCCCACACTAGCAAAAAAAATAAACCCAAATCCCTTATGTGCCTGTTGATATGTTATGAAATAGATTCAGAAGGGCAAGGAACAGCAAGTATTAGCAGCTGGCAATTGAGAAATGAAACTTCTAAAAAAAAATTTAAAAAACCACACTCACCTTCACTTTCTTTTCATCTTGTACTATGCTGTGCTAAGCAAGTTGCAATGTATTCTTTTGTAAAGTACTACCTTGGATTTAATAAACAGGCTTGAGGTTTAGGTCCTTATTGCTAACTTGTTGAAGAAAAGAGGGTGGTGTCATAGCTCAGAGGAAGAGTAGATATTTTTCATGCGATACTTCAGGCTTGACAAAGTCAGTTCTAGGACAGCCAAAGCAATGCTCTGACTCAATACAATGCAACTTAATATATTAACACGGACAGTGTTATTTACTCTGAAAGGAGAAGTAACTCTAGCCTAGCAATGCAGAAAGTTTTTTAAATATGGGAGGTGGAGTGTTGGGTGCCTTTCCAATGCTAATTCCTACCATGTCTAGCCAACTTGGTCAATGGTGAGAGACATTGTCCAGTACTATCTGGAAAGCTATGCTTTGGACTTCTTTGCAAAAAGCAATGTTACAACAGGCTCCCTCTGGACATTGTTGAAAATAAGATGATGTCAACATGGAATATTAAAAATAAGAGGGAGTAGGCTGCTGATCCTTGGCAGTTAACCTCAGATATTACATGTTGATGTTGGGCTTTTGCAGATTCTAGATCGGAAGCCAGGCCATATCTGTGAAAACATCATTCAGTTCCCAATA